TAAACTCCAGGAGAGAAATACTTTGCACCTCTTGGGCTCATATTTTCAAATGATATAAAGTGAAGTGATTATATTGAATCAATTGGTAGGTCTACTGCTAGGAAAGTTGGTTCACTGTGTTGTGCCAGTTTTTTGCGTCAAAATCAATCTGGCACATTTATAAATCTAGAATTGGTCCGTGCATCGAATACTACTCCCATATCCGGTCTGGTGCTCCTGCTATATATCTCAAGATTCTTGATAGAATTCAAAGTGTCTGCTACGAAATCGATCCGGAGCTGGCATCTCCACTTCAGTCACTTTCTCACTGATGTAATGTAAGTTCCCTCTGTCTTTACTACAACTATTTTCATGACTAGTGTTTTGATGAGCTTTTCACGTTTGTGTCTCGAATGAGTGAATTTAAGCGTTCTACTAGATTGGCACTTAGGTCCCGCCTTTTTTACTTTTGGACTAGCTGGGATCTAACCCTATGTTCTATTCTCATAATTTCTTTTCTCATACTTCTTTTTCGCCCGTGGAACTCGCTTGCGAGTTATTGCTTTCCTACCAGCAACAATCTTCAAATATTTAAATGCAACGTCAATCGCCATCTTCTGTCTTCCGGAAATCTGTTCCTTTTTCCGTACTTTCCTCGCTTCTCTTCACTAAAGTCTTCTCATTCTTTTTCAAGCCATGTAACGCCCTGCACCCTAATGCCATTATCACCTTGCTTGGGATGACATGATGAAAAAAATTCTTCGAACGGGAATCAAATTATATAAATCATTGGAGCTGCATTTTATTGAATAAATGCGTTCAACTAGTTATATATATATATATATATATATATATATATATATATATATATATATATATATATATATATAGGAGAGAGAGAGAGAAGGCTCTTTTATATATGTATATATATATATATAGAGATTTATATATATATATATATATATATATATATATATAGGCAATAAAAATAACGGTTAGAAATTGAAAGCTTCGTTAATGGTATGTTAGAATTCAGTATTCGGCGGTGAATATCAGCGCCGTTAATCATCCTGACAAAACAGGTGTAATAAATTTAAATCATAGCAGCCAATAAAACAAGGGAGAGAAAAAATCACAGCACGTAGAAACAGAAAGAAATCTTTTCAGTCAAATCGTTTTTATGATCGATGAAAAAGTGTGTTTTTACATTATCGTAACCAGTAAACATTTATCCAGTTGGATGATCGCTTATAACGCCCGGATTCATCATTTGCACTACGAAAGACTTTCTTCTACTTGTAGTTGCGTAATTCCTACGAGGTTCAAGGTTCGATGGTCGAAATCACTTGATAACGGATATTGATACAACCGGACCATCGTAGTTCCAATCTAACTCCGTACCAAACAGAAATGCTCAATTACAACGTTTCGGCCGTTGTACGCTCCGGCCTTCTTCAGGTGGTTGGAATGTCGAACTGAAGGACACATGGAACAGTGGATAAAGACGTTGGTTAGATCCAGTGACAGGACGCAAAGTGTGGGTGTTCTATACCCGGTTAAGGCTGTGGAGAACTTGGAGAGGGGAATTAACAGGAGATAACTGATAACTGACATCCATTAAACATGGCACGTGGAACTAGAAAAGTCTACCCTAGTGAGCGAAATAAAGGGTTCAGTTCGACATTCCAACCACCTGAAGAAGGCCTGAGCGTACAACGGCCGAAACGTTGCAATAACTATGGCGACAAAGATGAGGACAATAGTCCGAATAATGTAAATAGTGTACATAATACCTCATCTCAGAAATATAAACGGGAGAACTTGGAGAGGGAAATTAACAGAATATAACTTATAACTGACATCCATTAAACATGGCACGTGGAACTAGAACAGTCTACCCCAGTGAGCGAAATAAAGGGTTCAGTTCGAAATTCTAACCACCTGAAGAATACAGGAGCGTACAATGGCCGAAACGTTGTGATAAATATAGCGACAAAGATGAGGACAACTATCTCTCAGTGGTTTTGATTTTGTGCTTAATGCATATCTTCAAGTGCACATGTGTTGCTACCTTGTTTTGTCTGGGTGTATATTCATTTTTTGCTAGTTCCAGACATCCTGAGATAATATGGTCGACAATTTCATCATATTTTCTTCAGATCCTGCATTTCGGGTCAGTTCTATCCTTGATTATGTGACAGTGATAGGATCTGGTTGCGAGGCTTTGGACCTGAGCGGCAATAATTCCGCCTTTTCTCACAACCCAGGGCTCTTCAGCTACTGATATGTTTTATGTTGGTCCACATCTGCTTTTTTCGTTCTTTTTAGGTATTTGCAATGCAACGCCTTGTCCTCCCAGTTTTTTTGTAATTTCATTTAGCCAAGTTCTCTGTTTTACTCGTTTGGCATAGATAATAATTGCTTCATTTTCTTTTTGTGAGTAATGTTTCCGGTATATTATGCTGTTTCTTGAAGAACGCTACTTCTTTGTTTATTATTATTATTATTATTATTATTACTATTATTATTATTATTATTACGGGAAAATGTTTTAACAATTGCAACCTGTATATTAATTATGCAAAGATTCCAGGAAACTGCATAAGACTTGAAGAATTTCTTGCGTCAAGGAACATGAAAGAATATCATGATTGCTAGTACACCCATTCAAGATCCCAAACAAGCTACACAATTTCACTCACAAGGCTTTGATTAACCCATAATATGATTTTCAGTCACTTACCAAAGATGCCGCACGTTGGGAATGCCTATCTTCATGCCAATAACATCAAGAAATCATCTTCTTGACAAATCGACGATGGTGAAAAAGCGTGGATATTGCTACAAATGTATACTCTTATGTGATAGATAGATAGATAGATAGATAGATAGATAGATAGATAGATAGATAGATATGAAGAGACTCAAATACATAAGAACGAATTGAGATAAATACGGACAGACCTAAAAGAAAAAAAAGACAGATAGATAGATAGATAGATAGATAGATAGATAGATAGATAGATAGATAGATAGAATAAAACCGAGATAGAATCAAACTGTGCGTGTGTGTGTGTTTCTATATATGTATATAAATGAATGTGTTAAGAAATAGCAAGAGTTTATGTACATGTTTCTGTATTGTGAGAAATTTGTTCATCTTAAAAGAAATCGATGAAGATCTTTTTTTTTTCTGTAGATTCACTAGAGCCAAGAGTTCAGATTATGATACTCTTATGCTTCTGTAGGATAAAATATGCACGAAATATTTGTAAAAGGAAGGGGAAAATTAACCCAAAAGGATTACGAAAGCATGGAAAATTAAATTAATCAAAATTTTCTATGCGCATGTATTCGGGTATTTGTGTGCCAAAAGTACAGTTGAGATAGGTTAGTAAATGAAAAAACAAAACAAAGACAGATAGATAGATAGATAGATAGATAGATAGATAGATAGATAGATAGATAATGAAGAGCCTGAGATAGATAGATAGATAGATAGATAGATAGATAGATAGATAGATAGATAGATAGATAGTGAAAATAATTATAGATAGATATGAATAGAGTTAGATTGTGAAAATAATTATAGATAGATATGAATAGAGATAGAGAGATAAACAGATAGATAGTGAAAATAATTATAGATATATATGAATAGAGATAGATAGATAGATAGATAGATAGATAGATAGATAGATAGATAGATAGATAGATAGATATGAATAGAAATAGATAGTGAAAATAATTATAGAAATATAGATATGAATAGAGTTAGATAGATAGTGAAAATAATTATAGATAGATATGAAGAGATAGATAGATAGATAGATAGATAGATAGATAGATAGATAGATAGATAGATATGAACAGAGTGAGATAGAGAGACGTGAGAGAATGAAAGATTAATTAGATGGAATTAAAAGAAAAATATAAAATCGAAGAAAACTGATTATAACTTGCGTAATTACATTGCGCGAATTGGAAATATCATATCTGAAATTACGAGTATTAATGTCGTAATAGCCAATCTGAATCCGCCATTGAAAAGAAATAGAAAATGTCGACAAAAACAACAAATACGCATTATCAGATTCTCTTGTTTGACATGAATATCGACTCTTTTTATAAATTGTAATTGGGATCAATATCTCAAGAATGGTACACAGGACAGTTTAATCTGTTGGTTGTACGAATAGTTCAATCAAATAGCCTCAAAAGATTTTTATTAGTGTCAATAATATTGCTAATGTATTATCTTTGGCAAGAAAAGGTTCATTTTTAAACAATTTAATTTCAGATGTTATATTGATAAACAAAATCCGTTCAGCGTGGCACTTTTTGAAAGATGAGATATATATATAAAAAAAATGTCGTTTTCGTTTAAATCTCACCTATTTTGTGATCAATGCAAAAGATAACATTGACTCGACGACATCTACGAAAGCAGCTATACCTCAAGGTCAAGTTATATATTGAATTCGTAATTATTTAATTTCATTGTTAATTGCATCGCAACTCTCAGGTTGCTTCACGTTCTACGACCATTAAGTAAACAGCATCGATCAGTAATTAAGAAATGACCGCCTTCGTTGAGGTTTGAAATCACATCCACCCAATTTAACGTATTCAGCAGCATAGAAGACGTACTTTTCTCGAAACAAATGATTAAAAGAATTGTCTTGTATGCGAACTTGTGAAATGTTCACGCCTACAGACTTTCGTATTTGCTCCATCAGCATTATTATTATTATTATTATTATTATTATTATTATTATTATTATTATTATTTCCTTCGATTTCTGTTGTATACATATTTCTCGTCTGGTCCCAAACAGAGATCTAAGGTCAGAAATAACTTCATGACATTTTCTACTGATCATTTTTACAAAAAAAAAAAACAAAACCTTAGATAGATAGATAGATAGATAGATAGATAGATAGATAGATGGATAGATAGATAATCTAAGTTCAGAAAAAACTTCATGACATTTTCCACTGATCATTTAAAAAAAAAGAACCTAAGATAGATAGATAGATAGATAGATAGTGAAAATAATGATAGATAGATAGATAGATAGATAGATAGATAGATAGATAGATAGATAGATAGATAGATAGATAGATAGATAGATAAAATAATTATAGATAGATAGATAGATAGATAGATAGATAGATAGATAGATTACACCCGCGTCCTGGGTAAGACGATAAACTACATCCAACAGCAAGGCCTCTTAATTGCAGGTCTTCCCTATTAGAGTCCCGGCTATGGGCAAATAGTTTACCCCCACACTGGTGTCAAATCACTATGAAAGTGTAAAAATAGGTTTTAATACCAGCAATACGTTTTTGTAAAAAATTATTACAAGCAATATATTTTTGAAAAAAAATATTACCAGCAATACATTTTTGAATAAAAATTATTAAAAGCAATACATTTTTGGAAAGCAAAATATAATATATATATTAGAAAAAAATATTACCAGTAATAAAATTTTTTTCGGCATTAAATAGAATCATTGAGGTTTTGATATGCCGTAAAACAAACTAAACTAAACTAAGCCAAACTAATATTACACAAAATAAAATCTTCGTAATGTGTGAGCTGTAATTGTGAGTACAATTTCTTTTATTTCCGTATTGCAAGAGCTACCACGAAGACCATCAAAGAGTCTATCGGAAACTTTTCAGTTCAATCCGATTGCTCCAACTACAACTGGAATTATTGATGTCCATTATTATTGATGCGATATATATATATATATATATATATATATATATATATATATATATATAAAGTGAACATAAGTCAACACTTAGAGTCTGTTTCATGCTATATGCAATCGTCAGTCGAGTTTCTGACGTTTGCATCTAGCATGAAATGATCGCCGCCCTAAGTGTTGACTTCTATGTTCACTTTTATATTTACACACGCTCTATCTCTGATATTGAGCACTTTTATTCCATAAATATAGCATACCTTAAGACTATATTTCTTTATATATATATATATATATATATATATATATATATATTTCAACTTCCAGTTCCTTGCATTTTGATCATTTTTGGAAGATCTTCAAAGATACATTACAATCTGCAGGGACTGCCATGTCAATACGAAAGCACATTCAGTTCCTGTGGTCTTTGATCACGGTGTCTGGGCGATTAATTTTGTCAAGCATCTCGAGTAGGAGCATCAATTGTTACGGGTCCTATCTGTGTAACCAGGCTTTTCGTTTTTTTTTTTATCTTCCATATTCCTTTTTTTTTTTTCACTAAAACTAATTAGCGTCTTGTGTGGCAAAACAAAAGACTTATGAAAGTCTTTTGTGTTGCGACACAATCACAGCGATATAGTCCAGTATTTATGAGGTTTAATCTATAAAATCAGCCATCCGTCCTTGCTCGGAATATATGGTCCGGTGCTCCCGCTGTACGTCTCGAGTTCCTCGACAAAATCTAGAGACGAATATGCAAGATGGTAAGTCCAGATCTGGCATTTAGTCTACAGTCGCTATCCGACAGACGTGCTGTGGGCTACCTCTGGCTCTTCTACAAATATTTTCACGGCAGTTACTTTCGCTGGTTCCCGGACTGCATGAATTTAAGCGAGCTACCAGGCTGGCATGTCGGTCCCACCTTTTCACTCTTAAAACGATTAGATGTAACCGCCTCTTCTACTCAAATAACGTCTTCTCACGCACTTCCCGTCTGTGAAACTCCCTTCCCCTTACTTGCTTCCCCGATCACTATAATCCTCAAATATTCAAGTGTAATGTCAATCGGGATCTGACACCCTGAGCTTGCTCCCCGTCTTTCTCTGTATCCTTTCCCCAAACATGCCTCTTTACTCTTGTTCTCAATCCTCTGTAACCCTTTGCGGGCTAATGGCACTCCCGCCTTTCTTGCTTTAAAAAAAGAAAAAAAAAACAGGTATTGGATGGGCATAACGGTCGCGCGAAGTAACAAAGGGAGAGAAAGGTACAATTAATAATAATAATAATAATAATAATAATAATAATAATAATAATATAAAATAGGTCTGGTGTACTGGATGCTTATATGAGCACCAAGCTGTCTTAGCTATCAGAACTGATATGATGACTCCATGTTGACATATAATATAAAAGCACTTCTACCGCCTCATCTGCCTTGTTCATATGAAATATGATTTAGTCAACCCGCAAACGCGGTGATTGTGAATGCAAACATTGTATTTGATATGATCAAAAAATGCAATCATTTTCAGTATTCCAAACAACAAAGAAATGCCCAACGCAAATCTAGAACAGCTTAGTCTCATCGCTAACATCATTATCTCCTTCTCTCTCTCTCTCTCTCTCTATCTCTCTCTTCGTTTTAATTCCACTGCAGCCTTAACTATAGTAACAAGATATCAAGTAATTTACAGAAGGGATTTCCTCTTTAAATGATTTTTTTTTATACGAACCGATGTCTCAGTATTGCCTTTCACGGCACTTAATTGTCTCTCCCCCAAAGAAAATAAAACACGAGCCGAGTTCAATATGGAGCTTAGTACTTGTCTTTGGTGAGGGTGTACGTGCGTGTGGTGTAGTAATTATCACCGAGAAAAGTGGAATCGGCAAACCGATTTCGAATTCCGGCTAGAGCCGTTGCATTCAATTACACACAAAAATCCATTGAGAAAAGTATGAATCTATTCCTTCTTCCCAGCCCCATCAATGGGTTAAATAAAACAGAATGAACTTTTTTTTTTCCTTGGTTGGCAACGAGTCTAAGCCAGGTATAAATTTTAAATATAAAACCGATTGAGCGCATGCTTAGCAATTCCATTTCCTGAAATTATTCCATCTAGAATTTTAATAAAATCTACCATTCATCCGTGCATTGAATATTGCTGCCATCTCTAATCCGGTCATCTGGCTATATACCTCCAAATCCCGAACAATATCCAAAGAAATATCATTAATGTATATCGGCCCTGACTTGGCATCTCGTTTTCAGTCATTTTAACACCGCCATGACATGGCTTCCCTCTGTCTTTTCTATAAATATTTTCATGGCAGTTGTTCTAATGAACTCTCCTGACTTGTAACTCGACCGCATGAATGTAAGCGCACTACTAGATTGGCAATTAGGTCTCTTTGTTTTACTATTGAAATAGCTAGATGCAACCGTAAGTTCAATTCTAACCGATCCTTTTGTGGTACAAAAAGTACTTGTGTACCTTTGGAACTACTTTTACGATTTCTTTCTTCCCTGCCATCTACAATCTTGAAAAATTTAAATTCAACGTCAATCGTCGTCATTTGTCTTCCTAAATCCCGTTCTTTTATTGTCCTTTCTTCTCACTAAAGTCTTCTCATTATCTTCCACTCCCACTAACCCCTTGTATCTTAGTGGCATTATCGTCATCTTCTGTCTTCTTGAAACCTGTTCTTTTATTGTCTTTTCTCCTCGCTAAAGTCTTCTCAATCTCTTTCACTCCCAGTAACCACTTGCATTTTAGTGGCTTTATCACCATCTTCTTTCATTTTGATACCTGTTCTTAATATTGTCCTTTCTTCTCACTAAATTCTTCTCTTTCACTCCCAGTAACTCCTTGCGTCTTAGTGGCTTTATCATCATCTTTTGTCTTCTTGTAACCTGTTCTTATATTGTCCTTTCTTCTCACTAAATTCTTCTTCTCTTTCACTCCTAGTAACCTCTTGCGTCTTAGTGGCTTTATCACCATCTTCTGTCTTCTTGATACCTGTTCTTTTATTGTCCTTTCTTCTCACTAAATTCTTATCCTCTTTCACTCCCAGTAACCCCTTGTATCTTAGTGGCATTATCGTCATCTTCTATCTTCCTGAAACCTGTTCTTTTATTGTCCTTTCTCCTCACTAAAGTCTTCTCAATCTCTTTCACTCCCAGTAACCACTTGCATCTTAGTGGGTTTATCACCATCTTCATGATATTAGTAAGATTAAAAATTAGTTTGAACCCAAAAACAATAGGCGAAAAATTTTTAAGTAAAAAAAATCAGGTGAGTCACATTTATCGAACAGCACTGTAGTTTGAGTTTTTTTTTTAAATATTATTATTGTTGTTGTTGTTGTTAGTAGTAGTAGTAGTAGTAGTAGTATCTTTTTTAATCTCGGTCCACTCGCTTTGAACAGCAACCTATATAGGAGAAGGACAGCTTAAGTTTAAATTTAAAAGCTCTGCTGCCTTTCGGCTATGCCACTTCCGCAAATGCGTTGACACAGGGTAGATGTAGCAAATGTAGATTGGAACTGCATTCAGCTAAATACTGCAGTAACTCTGGAACGATATGGATCGGCACTTGCCCCTCCATTGGATCATTTGCAAGTGGTAAACCACAGCATCGGTCTATCTCCCATATCTGACTACCTAGTTACTGTGTGCTGGGCGACCGGAAGACGCAACGGATGCTTCGCCCGAAACATCTTCCGGAGTATAACTTCATAGTCTCCCTAGACGAGTGCCTCATTCATTCAAAATATATTTAGTTGAAGCCACAAAATTGTTCAAATTATTTAGATTTCGGCATGACATGACCCACAACGGGTGAGAAGCCGCTAAACAAAATCATCAAACCGACTAAGGAAACCAGAGGAAAATTTCACAAATTGTCATATAGGAAGAAAATGAGCAACTACCGTCACCGAGGTTCGAGCCTGACACTCTGAACTTATGAAGATATATTTCCCGCCAGGTGTATAAGTAGCAGTGTCAGGCTACTGACCGCAGTGATTATGGAGTGATTATTGAGTGGAACTATCCAGTCGAATTAGTGTGAATTATTCTGCGTCGATGATTTGGGTCTTGATTTAGGATTTACCGGACGTTGAGCCGAGCCACTAACAAGGTATTCACTGAAATGGTTAATTATCTTTGGATGACTTTTAGTTCTTTGTTCTTGTTAAGTATTTATTTGCGGTTGTAATTAAATACTGTTTTTATTTTAACATTGAAGTCTTGAGTTATACTTAACCATTAACGGCCACCGTACTTCACAAAACAAATTGATTAAATGGTCAGAATGATTTTCTTCTGAATTAAAACGTATTTTGAGTGAACCAGAGATCTCATTTATTTATTTTTGCTGCATTTAAGAAAAAAAACATTCCACAATTTAAGATTTCATAGCAAGACTTTGATCTCACATTATTTCGTGGGTGCTTTTTTCTAAATTTAATTTTTTACGAAAGGAATCCAACATTCCCGTAATTAATTATTACAGAAAATATCTAAATGGCTTCAGTTAAATATTTGGTTTAATCTTTTTCCTCTGAAAGACTAAAAATCTTGGTAACAAAAGATTTTCCAAATGATCATCCCAACTTAATCCAAACGCCCATTCGGCGTGGGGAAGGGAAGACTTAATAGCGTCATGCAGCTTCTGCCGCGCGCATGCATAACCGACTTTCTGATAAAGCTGACCTTACTGGCATATAACTTTGAAACACTAGTTCTCTTACGAATAACCACTCTCTCTTAATTGTCTGACAGACGTTTCTTCTTTTTTGGGAGGAGGGGGTGTTGGTACTTTCATCAGCAAGGCTTGTGCTAACCTCTAGTTAAGCAACATCGAGTCTGTTCAATATCTAGATGGGTAACCGCTTAGGAATACCAGGTGCTGTAAGTTTGGATGTGCGAGTGGTGTAATGGATAATAACAACTCTCTCTTAATTGTCTTAAAGATGTTTTCTGCCTTTCATCAGCTAGGCTGATGCAAACCTCTAGTTAAGCAACATCGAGCCTGTTCAATATCTAGACGGGTGACCGCTTGGGAATACCAGCTGCTGTAAACTTGGAAGTGCGAGAGGTGTAGTGGATAATAACCACTCTCTCTTAAGTTGTCTTACAGATTTTTTCTGCTTTTCATCAGCAAGGCTGATCTAACCTCTAGTTAAGCAACATCGAGCCTGTTCAATATCTAGATGGGTGACCGCTTGGGAAAACCAGGTGCTCGGATGTGCGAGTGGTGTAGTGGATAACGGCTCGGAATTGGAAATCTGAGAAATGAGTTCTAATTCGAGTTGGGTTCGTCATATTCACTTCCGCACAAATACACTTGGTAAATGTATGAATCCACCCCTTCTCCCCCAGATATGGGTTAATCAGTCTGTAAGACGTTTACCATTAAATTATTATCTCCAAAAAGTTCTTACAATCTAAAATATATTCTAGCTTTAAATAGCTTTGAAAAGGTTGATAAGCCGTAAAAGAAAATACAAATCAATCCTGAAAACCCGGATTGTCCTGTCTCTGACGATGAACTAAATTTAGCAGCAAGGCTCTGATCGATAGATTTTGAGGATCAGGGAACTGCCTTTTTTTTATTGCTGCTGTTCCTAGGTCCACCCTGATCCGATGTGATAGCATGGGATAGGGTTCCAGCTATAGACGAACAGAGACCCCAAACAAAACACTATGTAAGTATAAATATATATTTTTATAATATCAGCAAAACTTTTTCATTACATTAATCTGTATAATATCATCCAATTTCTTAAAGGAATCAAATTGTATTCCAAAATATAACTTCAATAAAACTACAACATAAAACACATATCAGATGAGCACGCGAAGATGTGTATGAATAAAAGATTAGTATTAACCACCTTGTATTAAGCTAAGGAAACAGATTAACATTTTTTTATTACTTCAAAGCTCCCAAGAAAATTAAATTTCGGTATTAAATGACCCATTAGGAGTTGATACACTGCTAAACAAATCAAATCAAATTTAAAACCTAGAAACTGAATATCTGACAAGGTTCTATGGCGATGTTTCTCTGTCCCGAGTGAGTAGCAGTAACTGATACCATCCTGTTATACTGTACACTCTATAGAAGCGTTTCTCAACCAGAGTTCCCCGGAACCCTAAGACTCTGCAAAAGGCCCTCAAGGGTTCTGCGAAAACAGGTGACTTGTTATTTAATTTCATACATGTAATATTACTAAACACACGCAATATATTCTTGGTTATTGTAATATTCTAATAAGATATTTTGCCTTGATTTACCTTATGTCTTTTCATCAGTAAAGGATAAAAAAATTAAAAAAAAAAAATGATGCAGTAATTATCTGTTTTCGTTCTTTTTACAATTATGTTATAGGTATATGATATTGATTACTTATATTTATTTTTTACGTAGTGTTTAGAATTTTTTTTTTTTGCGTGAAGGAAAACTCCCTGATGAAGTATTATAAACGAACAGTATGAATTTTATTTAGCATTGCCGAAAAAATTGATAAATAAGTATTAATTTTTCCTTAAAGCAGTTATTCAAAAATATATACTACGATATTTACCACGGGAACAACAATTAAAATAAAATGAGAAAGATACAGTATATAATTTTGTTTTTGCGCAGGGGTTTCTTGAGACATGTAATTTATTTTAAGTATTATGAAAGGGTAAAAAGGTTGAGAAACGCGGTTCTATAATATGGTACCTTATGGGTTTAGTGGTACCAACATTGAACTGAGACAAGTTTTGATGGAATATTCCCCATCGTTTGCTGGTCACGCCTGTTATAAATTCATGACGATCGTCTTCGAGTATAGAATCCAGAGGTTAGCAGTGAATATTTTAGAGACAGTAGGAAAGCGTAGTTCAGGTTAGCAGTGGATATCGCAGCAAAGTAGCAGAGCGTAGTACTTCCTTCTGTCATCTTCGCCTGACAAGTTGGCACTGGTCATTCGGGTAGGGTAAACAAAAATGGCCGCTTTTATACACGACGGATAGAATGTTCAGCGGCTTCTGATTGGTTAACCTTCTATTGGTGGACTATAAAGCGAGTGAAGGCATTTGGACTAACTCCAAATATATATATATTATTTTTATGGATACCCACATTTGAAATACATGATTCGTTTTTATATTTAACAGGGCGTATTGTATGAATCACTAGAATAAAGTTAAAAAATCACTACAAGAAAAGCCATTTTGTTTCAACACTTCTGGTGTCTTATCAAGTGATGATGTTGAATGTAGAATAAAGAGTTTTAAAAGGTTCAAGTCAACCAAACACCCCTCAATAGGGGAAACGCTGTTACTTGAGCTACAATGACCAATCAAAATACAAGTGTATGAGAATTCAAAAAACTTGACAACGAACCTTGGATATAATAATTAATGCTTTAATGTTAGGTTTAGACTAAAATAGAATTCATTCTAATTAATATTAAATTTTACTATAAAATTGAAAATTAAAAATTACCACTTTCAAATTTTAAATTTAATCTGTATTAAGTTTAAAATATAAAAAAATATTTAAATAAGAATCTGATATATATATATATATATCAGTTTCTTATTTAAATAATATTATTTTTAAAATTAATACAGATACGCATTGTTAAATATAAATCGGAGTGTGTATTTCAAATGCGGATATCCACTAAAATAATGTTTTAAGTAACTAGTTATATATAGTCATACATATACACAAAAAACTGTAACAACGCCAGTCATCTATGACTAAATTACAATGTACTCGGTATTGACTCAATCCCCAACCATTGAGATGAGATGTGATAAACGGTCCAGATTAATGTATAGAAGCCCCGAGTGGTGTCCACTCGAGCCAATGGTCAAAATTACCCAGCTCCCGCAACCGCAGGATCGGGTATATTTATTGTCTATTCTTCTAAGCCGAGTTTTTTTCTTACTGTAGACTGGGTCGTCATCTGCCCGAAGACAGAGAGCTTGACAATTGTGAGCCAAACCGTAGACTGCCTGACTCCGACGAGCTTTGGAAACCGAGCATATTAACCGACGCTTTCCTGCCAATAATGCCGCCCTTGGCTACAAAACATCGTTAATGCAATATATAAAAGTGTGTTGACTGATGGGTTGAGCAGCATCAACGTTGAACTGAATGTGATTTGAAGCAAGTTTCTCTTTAGTTGTTTGGTTACGCCCGTCATCGATGGTTCAATCTCAATGTACCTTGGCGCGGAAGCATATTAACTGATGCTTTGATGTCAATAATGTTACCCTTGGCAATAACCCATCGAGAATATAATGTAAGCTGTGTAAGACGTTGACTGTTGAGTTTGAGCAGGACTAGCGCTGAATATGGATATGATTCGATAACATTTGACCCTCCAATGGGTGATTATCATTTTATTATTCACCGGCTGTTCCATTTTTGTATCAACGTTAGGCGCCGTATGTTTTCAGATGCCATTGATGCATGCCCAGAATTCGTATATATTTTATGCAATCTTGCTGCTATTTCCCGAGAATAACCTAAATCAGTTCACACCTCAGAGACTATGCTCTATCTGTCCATCACGGAATCAGGAATAATGTATGCGTCCTATGGCTAACACACCAACTAAGATACAGCTACACAACCTCTTTACCTATTTCGCTGTATATAAGTCATTCACGCTTAATTCATTTCTAAAAGAGGTAGAGATGGAAACCATCACTTGTACTGTTGTTTCTAATTTACCGTAAATTCGTATGATAATAATCAGAATCATTAATTTTATCCAGATCTAACAAGGCCGGCTGCAGGCAATAATAAGTTGCTTTAATTACGTTAGTGGTAAAATCGTGGAAATTATGAAGTTAATAATAAATTGACGTGCCAAATTGTTGGGTCATTAACGAAGCTCATCTTTAGTATAAATTTAATAAAATAAAAAATCACAATACAAAGCGAACATATAATCAGGTTTACTTTGAAAATGTCAAAGAGAAAAGAAAAGAAAGAAATGATAAAAAACAAATGTAAAGATATGATAAGAAAGAAAGGTGGATAGGTTAAAGATGAGAAAAGAAAGAAAGAAAGAAAGAAAGAAAGAAAGAAAGAAAGAAAGAAAAAAGAAAGATAGAGAGGATAACGGAAAGCGAAAAAGAAAGAAAGAAAGAAAGAAAGAAAGAAAGAAAAAAGAAAGATAGAGAGGAAAACTGAAAGAGAAAAAGAAAGTAAGAAAGAGAAAAAGAAAGAAAGAAAGAAAGAAAGAAAGAGAGAAAGAAAGAAAGATAGAGAGGATAACGGAAAGAGAAAAAGAAAGAAAGAAAGAGAAAAAGAAAGAAAGAAAGAAAGAAAGATAGAGAGGATAACGGAAAGAGAAAAAGAAAGAAAGAAAGAAAAAAGAAAGAAAGAAAAAAAAAAGAAAGATAGAGAGGATAACGGAAAGAAAGAAAGAAAGAAAGAAAGAAAGAAAGAAAGAAAAAAAAAAGAAAGATAGAGAGGATAACGGAAAGAAAGAAAGAAAGAAAGAAAGAAAGAAAGAAAGAAAGAAAGAAAGAAAGAAAAAAGAAAGATAGAGAGGATAACGGAGAGAGAAAAAGAAAGTAAGAAAGAGAAAAAGAAAGAAAGAAAGAAAGAAAAAAAAAAGAAAGATAGAGAGGATACCGGAAAGAGAAAAAGAAAGTAAGAAAGAGAAAAAGAAAGAAAGAAAGAAAGAAAGAAAGAAAGAAAGAAAAAAGAAAGATAGAGAGGATAACGGAAGAGAAAAAGAAAGAAAGAAAGAAAGAAAGAAAGAAAGAAAGAAAAAAGAAAGAAAGAGAGGATAACGGAAAGAAAAAGAAAGAAAGAAAGAAAAAAGAAAGAAAGAAAGAAAGAAAGAAAGAAAGAAAGAAAGATAGAGAGGATAACGGAAAGAGAAAAAGAAAGAAAGAAAGAAAGAAAGAAAGAAAAAAAAAGAAAGATAGAGAGGATAACGGAAAGAAAGAAAGAAAGAAAGAAAGAAAGAAAAAAGAAAGATAGAGAGGATAACGGAAAGCGAAAAAGAAAGAAAGAAAGAAAGAAAGAAAAAAAAAAGAAAAAAGAAAGATAGCGAGGATAACGGAGAGAGAAAAAGAAAGTAAGAAAGAGAAAAAGAAAGAAAGAAAGAAAGAAAGAAAAAAGAAAGATAGAGAGGATAACGGAAAGAGAAAAAGAAAGTAAGAAAGAAAGAAAGAAAGAAAGAAAGAAAGAAAGAAAAAAAAAAGAAAGATAGAGAGGATAACGGAAAGAGAAAAAGAAAGTAAGAAAGAGAAAAACAAAGAAAGAAAAAGGAAAGAAAGAAAGAAAGATAGAGAGGATAACGGAAAGAGAAAAAGAAAGTAAGAAAGAGAAAAAGAAAGAAAGAAAGAAATTTAAGAAAGAAAGAAAGAAAGAAAGAAAGAAAGAAAGAAAGAAAAAAGAAAGATAGAGAGGATAACGGAAAGAGAAAAAGAAAGTAAGAAAGAGAAAAAGAAAGAAAGAAAGAAAGAGAGAAAGAAAGAAAGATAGAGAGGATAACGGAAAGAGAAAAAGAAAGTAAGAAAGAGAAAAAGAAAGAAAGAAAGAAAGATAGAGAGGATAACGGAAAGAGAAAAAGAAAGTAAGAAAGAGAAAAAGAAAGAAAGAAAGAAAGAAAGAAAAAAAAGAAAGAAAGAAAGAAAGCGAGAAAGAAAGAAAGATAGAGAGGATAACGGAAAGAGAAAAAGAAAGTAAGAAAGAGAAAAAGAAAGAAAGAAAGAAAGAAAGAAAGATAGAGAGGATAACGGAAAGAGAAAAAGAAAGTAAGAAAGAGAAAAACAAAGAAAGAAAGAAAGAAAGAAAGAAAGAAAGAAAGAAAGAAAGAAAGAAAGAAAGAAAGATAGAGAGGATAACGGAAAGAGAAAAAGAAAGTAAGAAAGAGAAAAAGAATGAAAGAAAGAAAGAAAGAAAGAAAGAAAGTAAGAAAGAAAAAAGAAAGATAGAGAGGATAACGGAAAGAGAAAAAGAAAGTAAGAAAGAGAAAAAGAAAGAAAGAAAGAAAGAAAGAAAGAGAGAAATAAAGAAAGATAGAGAGGATAACGGAAAGAGAAAAAGAAAGTAAGAAAGAGAAAAACAAAGAAAAAAAAAAGAAAGAAAGAAAGAAAGAGAGAAAGAAAGAAAGATAGAGAGGATAACGGAAAGAGAAAAAGAAAGTAAGAAAGAGAAAAAGAAAGAAAGAAAGAAAGAAAGAAAAAGAAAGAAAAAAAAGAAAGATAGAGAGGATAACGGAAAAGAAAAGAAAGTAAGAAAAGAAAAAAGAAAGAAAGAAAAGAAAGAAAGAAAGACAGATAGAGAGGATAACGGAAAGAGAAAAGAAAGTAAGAAAGAAAAAGAAAGAAAGAAAGAAAGAAAGAAGAAAAAGAAAGAAAGAAAGAAAGAAAGAAAAAAAAAAAGATAGAGAGGATAACGGAAAGAGAAAAAGAAAGTAAGAAAGAAAGAAAAAGAAAGAAAGAAAAAAGAAAGAAAGATAGAGAGGATAACGGAAAGATGGCACGAGAAAACTGATAAAAGAAAAATAGAAATAGTAACAGTTATAAAGAAAGGGAAAAAAAGAAAGAAAAAGAAAAGAAAGAAAGAAAATGGTGTAAAGAAAAAGTACAGGAAGATAAAATTGATTGGTTTATTTTGTTTGACGGCATATCAACACCTCAATGGGTTATTTAATGCCGACAAGTTTTTAAGAATATGTTTGTATGAATACAATATGTATTCTTTGTGAGAAATCTGTAGATGAGGTTTCGTTAACATATTTTTGTAAAGAGGGTTTTTTCGAGAGTCAAATGTATTGCTGGTAATATGCTTTTTTTTTCAAAATTGTATTGCTGGTTATAATTTATTTATTTTTTTTCAAAATTTATTGCTGGTACAAAAGTGTATTTTAGGTGGTATTTTTACGATAAAAAACATTTTTATACTTTCATAGTGTTTTGACCCCGGTTTGAGGGTTAATTATTTGCCCATATCTGGGACCCTAACAGGTGATACCACCCTGAGTCAGGGTGGACCTGAGAACAACAACAATTAAGAGGTGGTTCCACGCTAATCAAAACCTCCTGATCAATGTCCTTGCTGCTGGACGTAGTTTATCGTCACATCCGGGACGGATAAAATTGATAAGAAAGAAAGAAAGAAAGAAAGAAAGAAAGAAAGAAAGAAAGAAAGAAAGAAAAATGTTAAAAGAAAGAAAGAAAAAAAGAAAGAAAGAGAAATGTTAAAAGAAAGAAAGAAAAAAGAAAGAAAGAAAGAAAGAAAGAAAGAGAAATGTTAAAAGAAAGAAAGAAAGAGAGAGAGAAAGAGAAATGTTAAAAGAAAGAAAGAAAGAAAGAAAGAAAGAAAGAAAGAAAGAAAGAAAGAAAGCGAAAAGTTAAAAGAAAGAAAGAAAAGAAGGGACCGAAGAGAGAAGGACCGAATGAAATAACTGAAGGAAATCGTAAAAGAAAGAAAGAAAGAAAGATAAATGTTAAAAGAAAGAAAGAAAGATAAATGTTAAAAGAAAGAAAGAAAGAAAGAAAGAGAAATGTTAAAAGAAAGAAAGAAAGAAAGAGAAATGCTAAAAGAAAGAAAGAAAGAAAGAAAAAAAGAAGGGACCGAAGAGAGAAGGACCGAATAAAATAACAGAAGGAATTCGTAAAAGAAAAAAAGAAAGACAGACAGACAGACTATCTTCCGAGATTCTTTTTTCACTCTAATAACAGCAAAATAATTAGATACCTATAGTTGTTTAAAATGGTTGTTTATATTCAGCTATCTCAGCCTGAAGGCTGACTCCTTCTATTTTAATGGAAACGTTTTAGAACGCTATTTTGAATTTTTATCTCATTTATTTTTTGAAACATTGCTTTAATTCCAAATAATTGAATTCGTTCTTTTTCATTCTTTGTATTTTATTTGGATATTTTTTGTAAGATATTATTTTAATTAATATTTTCCCATCCATCACTCATGCCCGTAATATTGTGGTTGTTGTTGTTATAATAATATTAGGATGGTTTTTAAAAGACACCGTCCAGTTAATAATAAACGATTGTGACTATTAAGCCAGATAATTTATTTCGTTTTAGCAGTAAAGCGAAACTCGGTAATTGTCTGACTACAGATGAATTCCAACATTTTTGGCCCAATAATGAATGTTTCCAAAAAGGAAACAAACTATATAGGATAAAAGCAAATCGACATCCTTCTTTTTATAAGTACTTTTTACCTTCAATTAAGCTTTTTTCATTTGTTAATTGGTAGAAAGTAGAAATTTTATGGCTAGACATTTCAAGCGGATGAAACAGAGTCTTTGGAAAAGCAAGAGAATTAGAATATTTGGGGGTTAGGGGTGGGAATATAAACAAATGGTGGAAAAAATTAAATACTTAAGAGGAGTGGGGAAAACAGACATGAGCGAGACGAGATATAAGATGAAAAGTTAAGGATGGAAAGCAAACGGTCAAAAATAAGAGGGAGATTAAAAGATAAAGAAACAGAGAAGAAGAAGTAAAGAGAATAAAAGATAAAGAACGGAAAAGGAAAAGCTGAAAATATCAATGAAAAATAAAAAGTAAAGATAAAGAGATTGCAAAAGGATAGGCGGGTACAAGAGGAGGAGGACAACAACACTCAGAAAACAGTCTGCCTGTCTTATGTGAAGGGGTTATCAGAAAAAATACAAAGGATCTGCGGTCCATATAACATCAGGACAACCTTCAAAAGCTTGACGACACTTCGCAGATATCTCTCCCGAGTAAGAACCCCTCATGAATAAATACTGCGTGTACGCAATCCCGTGCAGCTGCAGAAAGGAATATAAAGGAGAGACAGGCCGCCCCCTCAAGGTAAGGCTTCAAGAACACCAGAAAGCTGTAACACGAGGGGAAGTAGAAAAATCAGGCGTGGCTGACCATATATGGAGAGAGAAGGGAAATCACCGCCCTCTGTGGGATCATGTTGAGATCATAAACAAGGAACACCATTGGAAAATTCGTAAACTTAAGGAATCAGCACATATGCTAGGCCGCAAAAATCTCCTGAGCCGACCAAGCATAGAAATAAATACAATATGGGAACCAGTAATAAGGAGTGCCAGAGAAAAGCAATGATAACCAAAGTTGCAATATGAGCTCTGGTAAAAACATAGAATGATAACAGCAAAATTGCAATATGAGCACTGGTAAAAATGTTTGCTAAAGGAATAAGGTTTATAATAACCAGAAATTCATAACCAGATGTCCTCAAGGACACATGGCACAGTGGATAAAGGCGTTGGTTAGTTAAGAGTGTGAGTTCAATACCTGGTTAAGGCAGTGGAGAACTTTCAGTGAAAATTAACAGGAGATAACTGATAACTGACATCCATCAAACTAGAACAGTCTTCCCCAGTGAGCGAAATAAAGGGCTCAGTTCAACATTCCAACCACCTGAAGAAGGCCGGAGCGTACAACGGCCGAAACGTTGTGATAAATATGGCGACAAAGATGAGGACAATAGTCCGAATAATGTAAATAATGTACATAATACCTCATCTCAGAAATATAGACAGATACTAAAGGGCGAAACGTTGTAATAAATATGGCGACAAAGATGAGGACAATAGTCCGAATAATGTAAATAATGTACATAATGCCTCATCTCAGAGATATAGACAGACTCCAAAAGGTAAAGGATATAAAAGAAAAGAAAAAGAAGAAAGAGAAGAAAGAGAAGGAAAAAGTAAAGAGAAGAAAAAGAAAAATAGATAAAGGTAAGAAGGAGGAGAAAGTATAAAGATGAGAAGAAGATGAAAAAGTAAATCTAAAAGGGGAGAAAAGGTAAAGGTGAGAGGAAGTAGTAAGAGGGGGAAAGAGAAATGATAGGAAGAGGAAGAGTTAACGATTAGCGGGAGAGGCCAAGTCAAATATTACGGAAAGAAAAAGGTAAAGACAATATGGAGGAGAAAATGTATTGAGGTAAAGTCAAGAATGAGAGGAAAATGTAGAAGTTTAAAAAAAAGTACAATCAAAAGAAGAAAAGAAAAAAAAGAAAAAGAAGAGAACTAGAAATAAGAAAAATGAAAGAAAAGATATAGAACAGTTTCGAAGAGAAAGAGTAAAGACAGGCTTTTTCCAAAATAGAGCACTCAAGTTGAACCAACATTTCGTAAAAACAAAATGGCATAAAACTAACAATTCTATTTCACTGACACGAGTATAACAATTCACATACCTAAAAACAAATAACCTGCATAATATCGTTACGATTGACACTTGTGCAATGATTACTGGAAAATAGTAAAAAAAAAAATTAAAATGCATCCTTTGAAGTATGTTTTGAATGCCGACAAACAACTCGTATAAATTTTACGGTAAACGATCGAGCGTACAAGCTTTTTTCATTAGCTGCATCAGACGATCATGTTCGATCATCGACATCGAAGCATGCATGTACAAAGGTAGCTTATTTTGAAAGTTTGGTATTGCTAAAACCATCTATAGAATTGTGCAGAATAACGGGAACACGAGGCTAAACTTCTCAACTACTTTGTGGTTTTCTACGAACGTGGATCCTACATTCGCCCGGAGGATGTAAACGACTACATTTCTTCTTCCATCTTGGGTGGATGCTTATAAATGAACCGATACTCCGGTTTGTGCCACATGTTAACATTGTAAGCGCGGATGGGGTAAGCACCCATTTAAATTTTAAAATAAAATAAGTTCTTCTGTAGTTTGTTGTGGCCTATCGCGTACGGCAGCAGTATACCTCGCGAAAAAAAAAATCTCCGCCAACAGATGACTAGATTTCAATCAAAAGAGCCAAGACTGCAGCGATGAAAAGAAAGTCCCGTGCAAATGAAAACCCAAACCAAACGACAGCCAGGATAGCTTCCAATGCTGAGAATATGCAAAGATTTAGGGACTCTCAAAATCCTGAACAAAAGCCGAAGGTTCAATCAAGAGCCATTCGCAGGAGCTAGCTTAAATGTCGATAGTATATATATATATATATATATATATATATATATATATATATATATATATATATATATATATATATAAAAAAAATGTATATAGGCTAAAATGAGGATTTTAATAAATAGGCACCTAATATTTAATAGATATGATATATTTATATATATATATATATATATATATATATATATATATATATATATATATATATATATATATATATATATGAATTTTACAGAGAAAAATTACAACTTACAATTGGATTTATAGCGTTTTTTTTTCTTAGAAAAATAATTTGTTATTTCCTGTCTTAAACTTTTTTACTTTAATCGATTTCGCTTAACTTTTCAAAAAAGTTTTTAACTGTTTTCTCTTTACGTATTGATACCTATATTTTGTAGCAATGAAATAAATGAAAATCAAGGGCGTAACTGACTAAATATGTCTTTTATGGTAAGGGGGATTTGGTTGAATCTATTTATGAAAAGAATTATGGGCTTGAACTTGTTGACGAAAAATGTTTCCTTATTAATCCGCCTCTCTCTCTCTGTCTGTCTCTCTGTCTCTCTCTCTCTCTCTCTATATATATATATATATATATATATATATATATATATATATATAGAGAGAGAGAGAGAGAGAGAGAGAGAGATATTAATATTAGTGGTAAATATACACATACATATGCAAAATATATAAATATATAT